TCTACAAAGTAGACTTCTAAGAAGGTCTACAAATGTGTAGACTTCTCTCTATTATGTGTAGACTTGCAAAGGACAGAACCGTAAAATAACTGTCTGTTTTTTTGTTTGGTCACAAGGGTTAAGTAGTAACTTCATAACCTCTTTAGGTTGGTTTTGCATTTGACTCAATAAGGGGTACACCTTTAGGGTTGAAATGAAATTTTAGGTTGGTTTTGGCAAATCCCCCAAGTATGTTTTAAGGAACAAAATTAATTGAAAGTCTTCTGTACAACAAACACAAACACAACATACATCCAAGTTCGAATAAACACAACATACAACAAGCATCCTAAACATCAGTCTAATCAAGTTCAAATACAAATATACAAACATACAAACATCAGCCTAATCATAAGCACCAATCTCCTCAAAATTATCTTTGTTTTCATATAAATGTGGGAGAGAGAGCTCATCAAATATATCCACAGTCATCTTATCCCTAATAACCTTCACGTTGGCGTTGTTGTTAGAAAAGTCTTTTGCATTAAATGACAGCCCAAGAGCATGACATTCAATGTATTTTAGAGCTTAGACGCCACAATCACCAGCTCGGGCCTGAGGCACATTGGGTGCACGTTAAAATGTGAATGGCTCGAGAGAGTATTGGGAACGCAGCTCATCAGAGGTAGAGCACTCAACAAGCAGATAATGGACCATGTGCTGAAAAGGCTCCATTACCACTTTGAGTTCTTCGTCGGGGATAGAGGAACAAATGATGTCCCATACGATTATGTGTCTCTTAGGGATCGATATTCATATAGCAATCCAATGATAGTTGTTGTAGTTCACTGGCGCATAGATATCATCAATATCCACCCCCCACATCTTGTCCGACCGGCAAAATGATGGTACATCGGCTGAATAATAATTAAACGCTCCACCAGGGAGTCTTCTTGCAAAACCGTAGACATCTGGCTCCGATTCTTTAAAATCCTTGTATTTGGCTCTCCATTGCTGAGAAAAGAGATGATCAAGGAAGCATATCCTCTCGGTCATGAACGCTTGTGGATTTTGAGCATACCTCTTCCTCAACACATAAATCCAAGCATCAACATGCTGCATTTAAAACAAAACAACTCATAAGATATCAGACGACTTAATAGACGAATTACCATTAAGTCGTTGGTAAGTATCCTATGTAGACGATTTAACAGACGACTTACCATTAAGTCGTCTTGTAAGTCTTCTTTGTGAACGACTTATCAGACGACTTACTGGTAATTCGTCTACAAAGAAGACTTACCAAAGGACTTAACGGTAAGCCGTCTACAAAGAAGACTTATGTGAGGGGTAAAACTCACTCTCTAGTTTAGGTTAGGTTTAGATTGGGAAAAGATAATCGTGGGCTGAATCCTGTTGGAACTTGTACGAATGAATATGTTTTTTATATTGATTTTAATGATAAAAAGAGTTTACAAGGATGATCTTGATGATCTAATCGAAAGAACAATGATTGATAGAGATGACTAAGAACAAAGTGTATTAGAGTCTTTTTATGTTGAATGAATCGAATCCCCTCTCTCTGATCTCTTCTCTTCTTTATATAGCTCTAGGTCACGTCCAACTTCTCCCAACGAAGCCTCCGAGATTACCTCCGTGAGTTGCGGGATTTGCAACAGCTTCCTCTTGACTAAGTCTTGCACGTTCTCCTTGAGCTTTTTCTCGTTAGCTGTTTGTAAATGAGGTCCTGAGCCTTTTATTCGTGACCTGTTTCTATCAATAGTTTTTCCATTCAGCCAAACAGGTAACGACTTCATTTGATTCTTGTTTGAGGAACGGCTTCCTAATGGGCTTATAATGCCCCGTAAATGGTTTCGACTATTCAGCCCATTAATTCAGCTAATGGGCTAAATTCGGGCCCAACAGTTGCCCCCAGCTTTCGAGATAAGATCTCTTTTCTCGGAAGCTACAGCGTAACCGCCTGACCTCTTGTTCCTCGAGATAATGATTTCTTTACAATATACTCGAAGATTCGCGTGACCTTAATTCTACGGCCTAGATTTCGTTTGGTTAAATCAACGGTAGGGATTAATATATTTTGAATATTTTCAATCCCGATTTTCGAGGCTGGACGTGATATAAAGCTGCGGTTATTAACTGCGCTGCTTCTCCACCACCCCACGTCTCGATTTGATTCCCCAGGTAACTGTTCACTTTCTTCTTTAATTTACTACGATTATATTTGTTCCCGTTAATACTTCTAGGAATTCATATTTCGAAAAAAATTTCATCCGAACCTTTCTTCGATTTCTTTGCATTTTTCTACTTTCCTCTGTCTATTATCATGACGAAAGATAAGGAAGGTACCGGAGAAACTGAACTCCCTGCCTCCGGTGCTCAGCTTATGAAGGTTAAACTGGAAATCGGTGAGAAGATGAAAAAGGGCGAGCCGAGCAAGAAGGGTAGGGACTCAATCGCTCTACGAGTTTCCAAGAGAACGAAGAAAAACGACGGCTCAGGTGGGAGCACCCTCTTCGGTTTTCACGTGCCTTCCTTGCTGAAGAGCCAGGAAGTTGTTAACCTGATGGTCCAGGCCGTAGGCCAGAAGGATTTAGCCAAGGCCTGTAAACCCGACGAAACTCCGGAGACTGCTCCAGAGGGATGGTTCTGCGTTCACGAGAAGTACATCACCAAATGTCATCTCAGATTCCCGCTTCCAGATCTCCTATTGGATCTTCTCGATCATTACCAGTTAGCTCTTTCCCAGCTCTGTCCCTCGGTTATTCGGGTGATTAATGGTTTTATCACCAGAGCTAAGGAAGAGGGGGTTACCGTTGGTCTCCGCGACCTAATGAGCCTCTATACAATCAAGGAGAGTGCCTCAAAAGATGGTGGTAGCGGCACCTACTATTTACCTTGCCGTCCCAAGCTGGGCCTCTTTAAGTTTTCCGGCAGTGATGATGACTGGAGGAAGAAATATTTTTATGTTAAGATTGACCCTTTGACGGTTCCTGTGGGTCGTACCCTAAGGGTTTCTTGGTCCGATGCTTCCGGTTAGGGTCTTCTAGGGATGTATTTGTGTGATTTGCTTCCTTTCCACACATTTCATTAACCGTTGATTCTTTTTGGCAGATATTGAAGAAACTGACAATCTTACTAACAAGCTTACTAGAGCTTTGTATCGTAAGCTAAAGCAGAGCCCTTGTACGTGGGGAGCTTTTACTACTTCACGCATAGGAGCAGCCAGGTTTCCTGAACGATACGGAGCCTCATTTCTGGATCCTATCCCAGCTGCAGGTTTAGAAAGTAAGTCGGCTCTATCTAATTACTCTCTCTTGAAGCTTGAATTGCTCACTCTTGGTAACAATAGAACATTCAAGTTTGCTTATCCCTTTTTAGACTTTCTTACAAGCTTGAATGGCCATTTGCATCACTAAATGGTACCTCACCTTGAACCCTAACCCTTTTTCTTTGCCCCTTGATTGTTTGATGAGTGAGGCCTCTTGTTGATGATGCATTCTAGT